CACCTGTGTGGTGCTGTGTCTCACCTGTGTGTGCTGTCTTACCTGTGTGGTACTGTGTCTTACTATGTGTGGTACTGTGTCTTACCTGTGTGGTACTGTGTCTTACCTGTGTGCTGTGTGCTTACCTGTGGCCAGTACTGTGTCTCACCTGTGTGGTATATGTCTCACCTGTGTGAGTACTATGTCTTACCTGTGTGTTACTGCCCTTCTCTACCTGTGTGTTACTGTGTCTTACCTGTGTGTGCTGTGTCTTACCTGTGTGTGCTGTGTCTCACCTGTGTGGTGCTAAGGTCTCACCTGTGTGGTACCATGTCTTACCTGTGTGGAACTGTGTCTTACCTGTGTGGTACTGGCCTTCTCACCTGTGTGGTACTGTCTTTACCTGTATTGGTACTGTGTCTCACCTGTGTGGTACTGTGTGTCTTACCTGTGTGTGCTGTGTCTCTCCTGTGTGGTACTGTGTCTTTCCTGTGTGTACTGTGTCTCACCTGTGTGGTACTGTCTCACCTGTGTGGTACTGTGTCTCACCTGTGTGGTACTGTGTCTCACCTGTGTGCCTGTGTCTCACCTGTGTGGTGCCTGTGTGTCTCACCTGTGTGGTACTATTAATCTCACCTGTGTGTGTGTGTCACTGTGGTGCTGTAATCTTACCTGTGTGGTACTGTGTCTCCACCTGTGTGGTGCCTGTGTCTTACCTGTGTGGTATATGTCTTTACCTGTGTGTACTGTGTCTTACCTGTGTGGTACACATGTCTTTCCTGTGTGGTACTGTGTCTCACCTGTGTGTGGTACTGTGTCTCACCTGTGTGAGTGTGTGTCTCACCTGTGTGGTACTATGTCTTACCTGTGTGGTACTGTGTCTTACCTGTGTGGTACTGTCTGCTTACCTGTGTGGTACTGTGTCTTACCTGTGTGGTACTGTGTCTTACCTGTGTGGTACTGTGTCTCACCTGTGTGGTACTGTGTCTTACCTGTGTGTTACTGTGTCTTACCTGTGTGGTACTGTGTCTTACCTGTGTGGTACTGTGTCTTACCTGTGTGGTACTGTGTCTTACCTGTGTGGGTACTGTGTCTTACCTGTGTGGTACTGTGTCTCACCTGTGGGTGCCTCTGTCTCACCTGTGTGGTACTGTGTCTCACCTGTGTGTGCTGTCTTACCTGTGTGTGGTACTGTGTCTCACCTGTGTGGTGCACAATGTCTTACCCTGTAATAGTGCTGTGTCTCCACCTGTGTGGTGCCTGTGTCTCACCCTCAGTAGTAGTACTGTGTCTTACCTGTGTGGTGCTGTGTCTCACCTGTGTGTTACTGTGTCTCACCTGTGTGGGTACTGTGTTTACCTGTGTGTGGTACTGTGTCTTTACCTGTGAAATGCTGTGTCTCACCTGTGTGGTACTGTGTCTTACCTGTATGGCGAGGTACTGTGTCTTACCTGTGTGTTGCTGTGTCTCACCTGTGTGTTACTGTGTCTCCATAGTAATGGTACATGTCTTTACCTGTGTGTGCTATGTCTCACCTGTGTGGTGCTGTGTCTTACTGTGTGGTGTGCCTATGTCTCCACCTGGTATTAATTACTGTGTCTTACCTGTGTGAGTGCCTGTGTCTCAGCAATGTGGTACTGTGCTTACCTGTGTGTTACTGTGTCTTACCTGTGTGGTACTGTGTCTTACCTGTGTGGTACTGTGTCTCCTGTGTGGTACTGTGTCTCACCTGTGTGTGCTGTGCTCTCACCTGTGTGTGTGTGTCTTACAGCAATGGTACTGTGCCTCATCTCTGTGGTGATATATGTCTCCACCTGTGTGGTGACCCCATGTCTCACCTGTGTGTGGTGCCTGTGTCTCACAGTGCTCTGTGCCTCTCATCTCTCTGTGGTACTGTGTCTTACACCATGTGGTATTTGTGTCCTCACCTGTGTGGTACTGTGTCTCACCTGTGTGTGTGTGTCTCTTACCTGTGTGTTATTGTCCTCACCTGTGGTATTGTGTCTTACATGTGTGGTTCTGTGCCTCATCTCTGTGGTACTGTGTCACCTGTGTGGTACTGTGTGTCTTACCAATGACGGTATGTGTCTTACCTGTGCCAGTGCTGTCTTACCTGTGTGGTACTGTGTCTTACCTGTGTGGTACTGTGTCTTACCTGTGTGGTGTGTCTCACCTGTGTGGTACTCTGTCTCACCTGTGTGGTACTGTGTCTCACCTGTGTGGTACTGTGTCTTACCTGTGTGGTGCTATTGTCTCACCTGTGTGGTGCTGTGTCTTTACCTGTGTGCTGTGTCTCCACCTGTGTGGTACTGTGTCTCACCTGTGTGGTACTGTGTCTTACCTGTGTGGTGCCTGTGTCTCACCTGTGTGGTGCTGTGTCTCCACCTGTGTGGTACTGTGTTTTACCTCTGTGTGAGTGCTGTGTCTTACCTGTGTGTGGTACTGTGTCTCACCTGTGTGGTACTGTGTCTTACCTGCTGTGGTACTGTGTGTCTTACCTGTGTGTGCTGTGTCTCACCTGTGTTACTGTGTCTCCACTTGTGTGGTACTGTGTCTTACACATGTGTGTGGTACTGTGTCTCACCTGTGTGGTACTGTGTCTTACCTGTGTGTGCTGTGTGTCTCACCTGTGTGTGAGTACTGTGTCTTACCTGTGTAGTGCACTGTATCTCCAACTGGCGTGCTGTGTCTTACCTGTGTGGTGCTGTAATCGTCTTACCTGTGTGGTACTGTGTCTTACCTGTGTGGTGCTGTGTCTCACCTGTGTGGTGCTGTGTCTCCCACCTGTGTGTGCTGTGTCTCACCTGTGTGTGTGTGTCTTACCTGTGGTACTGTGCCTCATCTCTGTGTTACTGTGTGTCTCACCTGTGGTGTGTGTCTCACCTGTGTGGTACTGTGTCTCACGAGAGTGTGCTACTGTGCCTCATCTCTGTCGGTACTGTGTGCCCACCTGTGTGTGTGTGTCTCACCTGTGTGTGGTACTGTGTCTCACCTGTGTGGTGTGTGTGCACACCTGTGTGGTGTGTGTCTCACCTGTAGTAGTGTGTGTCTTGTGTGTGTTCTGTGCCTCATCTCTGTGGTACTGTGTCTCACCTGTGTGGTGTGTGTGTCTCACCTGTGTGTTACTGTGTCTCACCTGTGTGGTGTGTCTCACCTGTGTGGTGCTGTGTCTCACCTGTGTGGTGTGTATGCCTGTGTGGTGCTGTGTCTCACGTGTGTGGTGTGTGTCTTACCTGTAATTTGCTGTGTCTCACCTGTGTGGTACTGTGTCTCACCTGTGTGGTGCCTGTGTCTCACCTGTGTGTGTGTGTCTTACCTGTGTGGTGCTGTGTCTTACCTGTGTGTTACTGTGCCTCATCTCTGTGTTGTATGTCTCACCTGTGTGGTGTGTGTCTCACCTGTGTGGTACTGTGTCTCACCTGTGTGGTGTGTGTCTTACCTGTGTGGTACTGTGTCTCACCTGTGTGTGTGTGTCT